GTTCTCATAAGAAAAAACATGTTCTTAGTACATAAACCCGATGTGTTGAAACAAGACAGTCCCAGCCAGAAATGTTCTAAGAACATTTCGTGGGAACCACAAAAGGTTCTTAGAACAGTGTTTCGTGGGGCTATAGGCGAGCCAGGACGCTTCGCCACTGCTTGAAGAAAGTCTCCTCCCCACCTGCTCTCCCTCCCCCCAGCGCCCCCGGCTGGCAGTGCTCCTCTCGCCATCGCTCGGACGTCCATCCCCCATGCACCGTTCGGTGCCGTGCGCGTCTATCTCTTGGCAAAACAATCAAACAACACGTCGCCAAATGATCCAGGAAGCTCCTCGATGGTCCCCGCCGAGGATATGATTCGCACGTCCGAGCGATGCTCGGGTCGGGTAGCTGATTCTCCCGGGGCCTCCCAGCGCCGGAGGCGGCCATGTATCGAGGAACGGGCCCCTCGGTGTGGCCGAAACCAGCTGCACGCAGCAAATTTCGTAACCCCCCCCTTTCCCTATCCACCCCTTTCGTCCGGCCCGAGATGCCGAGTCACTCCTCCTGGACCATCTCGTCGGATCCATGGAACCAAAGATTGCAAATGCTCAGCAGACGCTTCCCGCACGGCGTGGGCCCATCGAGGATATGATTCACCCCGCCGAGAATATGATTCGCACGTCCGGGCGATGCCATGTCGCTCCTCCTGGACCATCGCCGGATCCATGGGACCAAAGATTGCAAATGCTCCGCAGACGCTTCGCGCACGGCGTGGGCCCGGGGGGCGGGCGGGCTCTCCCCCGAGGAGGGCGGCGCACGCTCCGATTGCCGAGGTGACCCTGCCGGTCACGGAAGGGGCGAAAGTGCAGGAGGCCTGGGGGGGCTCCCTCCCCCTCCCCCTCCCCCTCCTCCCCCTCCTCGTCCTCCTCCTCCTCCTCCTCCTCCTCCTCCTCCTCCTTCCCCTCCTCTGGCCCTCCTCCTCTGCCCTCCACATCCTCCACCTCCTCCACTTCTTCGTCCTCCTCTTCCTCCGTCTCCTCCTTCTTTCTCCTCGCTCCCCCTACCTCGTCGATTCCCTCATCCTTCCCTGCCCCTCCTCCCTCCTCCCCTCTCTCTCTCTCTCTCTCCCTCTTCCCGGACCCGTCCCCTCTTTTTGCCGTGCTTGAGAGGGTCGTCTGGCCACAAGTCCTCGTCGTTCGGCACACCGTCGCCGTCCCTGTCTGGATCCGAGTGGTCCCCGATGCCGTCGCCGTCCATGTCCGACCTGCGACGGCGAGCGCACGCTCCGCCAAGGGGATCCCCACGCCGCTGCCTCCTCCTCCGGCTGGACAAGGCCTGTGCGGGCCCAGTGCGTTTGTTAATCCCAGGCCCCTTCAGCAAATCATCCAGACAGTTGAGTAGAAGGCGGAGGCGGAGGGCGATAACGACAACGACGACCAAAATTGATGGCGTTGATGCCAATGCTCTTCCTCCTCCTCCTCCCCCTCCTCCTCCTCCTCCTCCTCATCATCATCATCATCATCATCATCATCATCATCATCACCACCAGCATCATCATCAGCGTCAGCGTCATCATCATCATCATCATCATCATCATCATCATCATCATCATCATCATCATCACTCAGCATCATAAAAAGCATCATAAAAACACCATCATCAGCATCAGTATCATCATCAGCATGATCATCTTCATCCATCATCATCATCCATCATCCATCACCCATCATCATCGTCGTCATCATCATTATCATGATCATTATCAGCAGCATCATCATCATCAGCATCATCATCACCATCGACATCATCATCATCAGCAGCATCATCCTCATCATCATCATCAGCATCATCATCATCCATCATCATCATCCATCATCCATCACCCATCATCCATCATCCACCATCCATCATCCATCATCCATCATCATCATCATCATCATCATCATCATCATCATCATCATCATCATCATCATTCTCCTCCTCCTCCTCCTCTTCCTCGCCCCCCTCCTATTGCTGCTCCTGCACCGTCGCCTTCTCCGACAGAGGAACTTTGTAAGCGCGCTTGCACACTGACATGTGCTGTCAGTTTGTGCTTGTTGGTATTGTTTCGATTAGTACGAAACATGTAACAACGCCACCAGGCGAAAGATAGAGCCAGTAGCAGTGCCTAACACGATCATAAGAACAACACACAGCAAACATATATATATATATATATTCTCGAAGGTCCGCGCGGACTCCGTAGATCGGCGCTGGACCCGCTCCCTGGCGTGCGGAGCCCACCAAGGGCGGCGCCAGCGCCGCCGCCAGGGGGGAGCCACCGCGGACCCAAGAGGTCGGACCCCGAGGTCTGCGAAGTCGTGAACCCGCGCTCCACCTCCCTGCTTTAAAGGGGCCCTCGTTCTTGAACGCCCGCACTCTCGCGGCCGGCCACGCGGAGGCAATGCAAACCCGTCGTGACTGTGATGGGGCAGGGCGGGTCGAGGCGAGGCGAGCGCTGGACTTGGCCGCTCCCCGGTAGGGAACCCGCCCACGCCCATCACGGCACGGCGTGGAGGCCGTAGCCTCAGACTTGGAACCCATCACCTCGAACCTCCTGCTAGCCAGAACCAGTGCTGGGCCACCTCACGCCCCCCCGCCGACTCCAAGTCCATAGGATCATCGACAGGAGGGCACGCACCTAAAGGCCTCCTGGATGGTGTCCGAGTGGAAGGAGTCGGAGGATCGCGCCGCATCACCGCTGCATCGTTGACGCATCGGCGGCGCATCGGCGATGTCGGCGTGGATAAAATTGGGCTTCGCATCGAGCCGCGTCGACGATGCGCCAGCGATGTGACGCGATTCTCCGACCCCAATCTGCTCCGAACCCCATTTGGAATGCCTGGGCCAGAGCGGGGCTAGAAGAAGAAAACACACCATAAACATACACTTGGCGCTCCGCGCGGATCTCTTCGATCTGCGCTGCCCCCTCCCTGGCACGCTCCGCGCACCAGGGGCGGCGCCAGAGGCGCCGCCGGTGGGGGGGGGGGGGGCCTGTCGCGGGCCCAAGAAGTCCGCGCGGAACGCCAAACAAATTATGTTTACAGCGTTCCTTCTTCTTCGACTTGGGTATCCCAAGGGGGGTCGGAAAAGATGGGGGTCGGAGGATCGCGCCGCATCGCCGATCCATCGGCGAGTCGGCTCGATGCGAAGCCCAATCACCCACGCCGACGTATTTCTACTAAAGTTAGGTCGGGCATGTCCTGCAGGCGGGTTTCGGAAGAAAAATGAAAAATAGCCCCCAAAACAAATCCGACAAGCAAAGAAATACTCTAAAAATCGCGCCCTGATTTTTTTAAGCTAATGTTGACTAGTGTTTAACAATGGTCAAAAAAATAACCAAAAAAAATACTCAAGATATCGTCCCCGGACTATGTTCTGGCTATTTTGGATCATCCCTCCTCTAGAGGGACAGGCCCGACTTACTCCGGCGGTGGACAAACCTCCCTGTAGTAAACCTCTTCTTAGTGAAAGCGGTCTGGGACCGAAGCCGACGGACCTGGACCCTCAAAAACGACGGCCGCGACGCCCTCTCGCGAACCGAAAACGGCCAATTCGCTAATCCATGTGTCAGGGTAGAAGGGCTATGAACCTCCGAACCCTTGGGAAGGCTACCCGTCCTTACCCTCCGTTTCGACTGCAAGGCGCCAAACAACGTGCGCTCGCCCGCCAATTCCCCAATCAACGTGTCAGGGTAGGAGGTCGATCAACCTCCGATTACTGCAGGGCCCGCCCCCCTCGGCCGGAGCGGGGCGGGGCGCGCCACTCGCTCCTGTCGTACGGGAACCTGGCCGCGCGGCGGGCCGCGGGCGGCGAGCCGAGCCGCGGGAGACCGCGCGGCGCTGGGGCCGAGCTCTCAGGACTCGTCGACGACGGGTCGACCCTGATATGTTGTTTGTGTAGTAGTAGTAGTAGTAGTAGTAGTAGTAGTAGTAGTAGTAGTAGTAGTAGTAGTAGCAGTAGCAGTAGCAGTAGTAGTAGTAGTAGTAGTAGTAGTAGTCGTAGTCGTAGTCGTAGTCGTAGTAGTAGTAGTAGTAGTAGTAGTCGTAGTCGTAGTAGTAGTAGTAGTCGTGAGTCTAGATCCGTAGTAGTAGTAGTAGTAGTAGTAGTAGTAGCTGTGTGTAGTAGTAGTAGTAAGTAAGTAGTAGTAGTAGGAGTAGTGGTAGTAGTAAGTAGTATAGGAGTAGTATATTAAAAACAAAACAAAACAGGAGCAGTAAGCAGTAGCAGTAGTATTATTCGTAGTCGTAGTCGTGAGTATTAGTAGTAAGTAGTAGTAGCTGTTGTAGTAAGTAGTAGTAATAGTAATAGTAGTATAGTAGTAGTAGTAGTAGCATTAGCAATAGCATAGCAGTATAGTAGTAGTAAGTAGTAGTCGTAAGTTCGTAGCCGTAGTAGTAGTAGTAGTACGTATAGTATAGTAACAGTAGTAGTAGCGTAGTAGTAAGTAGTTGTTCGTAGTCCGTAGTCGTAGTAGTATAAGTAGTATAGTAGTAGTAGCCTGTTGTAGTAGTAGTATAGTAGTAGTAAGCAGTAGCACGTAAGTAGTAGTAGTAGTAGTAGTAGTAGTAGTAGTAGGAGTAGTGGTAGTAGTAGTAGTAGTAGTAGTAGTAGTAGTAGTAGTAGTAGTAGTCGTAGTAGTAGTAGTAGTAGTAGTAGTAGTAGTAGTAGTAGTAGTAGTAGTAGTAGTAGTAGTAGTAGTAGTAGTCGTAGTAGTAATAGTAATAGTAGTATAGTAGTAGTAGTAGTAGTTGTTGTTGTTGTAGTAGTAGTAGTAGCAGTAGTAGTAGTAGTAGTAGTAGTAGTAGTAGTAGTAGTAGTAGTAGTAGTAGTAGTTGTAGCAGTCGTAATAGAAGTAGTAATAGTAGTAGTAGAAGAAGAAGAAGTAGTAGTAGTAGTTGAAGCAATAGTAGTAGAAGTAGCCGTAGTAGCAGCAGTCGTAGTAGTAGCAGTAGTAGTAGTAGTAGTAGTAGTAGTAGTCGTAGTCGTAGTCGTAGTCGTAGTCGTAGTAGTAGGAGTAGTAGTAGTAGTAGTAGTATTCGTCGTAGTCGTAGTCGTAGTAGTAGTAGTAATAGTAGTAGTAGTAGTAGTAGTAACAAATGTCGTCGTTGTAGTCGTAGTCGTAGTCGTAGTCGTAGTAGTAGTAGAAGAAGTAGTAGTAAAACTAGTAGTAGTAGTAGTAGTAGAAGTAGTAGTAGCAGTAGTAGTAGTAGTAGTAGTAATGGTAGTAGTAATGGAAATCGTAGTAGTCGTAGTCGTTGTCGTAGTAGTAGTAGTAGTAGTAGTAGTGGTAGTACTAGTACTAGTAGTAGTAGTAGTAGTAGTAGTAGTAGTAGTAGTACTAGTAGTAGTAGTAGTAGTAGTAGTAGTAGTAAAAGTAGTAGTAGTAGTAGTAATAGCCGTAGTAGTCGTAGTAGTAGTAGTAGTCGTAGTAGTAGTAGTAGTAGTCGTAGGAAGTAGTAAAGGAAGTAGTAGTTGTTCTGGGTGCTGTTGGAGTAGTTGTAGTAGCACTTGTACATTGAGTTGTTGTGCTTGTTATTGTTATTGTTATTGTAGTTGTAGTTGTAGCTGTGGTTGCTGTTGCTGTTGTGGACAGTGTTGTTGCTGTTCTTGTAATTGCATGTGTAGTTGTAGGTGTTGTCATTGGTGTTGTTCGTGTTGCTTGCTACTGTAAGTGTAAGTGTAGGTGTAGTCGTAATAGTAGTAGTTGTTGGTGGTGCTGGTGTTGATGATGCTGCCTTTGTAGTTGTAGATGTAGTAATGGTTGTTGGTGGTGGTGTTGTTATTGTTGTTTTCATTGTAGTTGTAGTTGTACTTATGGGTTCAGTTGCTGCTGCTATGAGTGGTACTGTAGTTGTAACTGTAGTTGTAGTTGTGGTTGGTGTTGTATTTTGTTGTTGTTGTAGTTCTAGTTGTAGCTGTGGTTACAATCGTAGTAGTTGTTGCTGTTGATGGTGGTGTTGGTGTTGTGTTTTTCTTAGTGTAGTTGTAACGATAGTTGTAGAGGTTGTCGTTGGTGTTGTGTACTGTTGTTGTTGGTGCTGTTGGTGATGTTGTCTATGCTACTGTAGGTGCCCTTGTAGTTGCAGTTGGTGTTGTTATTATCTTTATTGCAGTTTGCAGTTGTAGTTGTAGGTGTGGTTTTAGGTGTTGGTGCTATTGCTGGTGTTGTGATTGTAGTTGTGGTTGGAGCTGTAGTTGTAGGTGTAGCTGTACGAGTGGTTGTTGTTGTTTCTATTGTATGTGAAGCTGTAGGTGTAGTTGTAGGTGAAGTAGTTGTTGTTGGTTTTGTAGTTGTAGATGTAGTGACACTTGCTGTTGCTATTGTAGTTGTAGTTGTAGGTGTAAGTGTGGTTGCTGTTGTTGTAACTGTTGCCATTGTTGATATTAGTTGTACTTGTAATTGTTGTTGTTGTTGGTGGTGCTGTTGTTGTTGTTTTTGTGTGGCTCTAGTTGTAGTAGTTGTTGCTTGTAGTGCTGCTGGCATTGTAAGTATAGTTGTAGCTGTAGTTTGTTATTGTAGTTGTAGTTGTGGTTTTGGTTGCTATTGTAGTTGTTGTTAGTGGTCGGAGGTTGGGGGGTGAGATCGCAGTGAAACGGAGACCCCCACAAAGAAATCGGTTTCGGTTTCGTGTTCGTGTCGTGCGTGCGAGGCGAAACTGCGCGTGAAAAACCGAGTGCCCGTCCGCTGGTGGCCGGTTGGGCCGGGCGGTGTCCCGGGTGTCCCGGGTGTCGGTAGGAGCGAAAATCCGTTTCCCGTCCGCCGGTGGCCGAGCCAGGCGGTGTCCCGGGTGTCCCGGGCGTCCCGGCGCTAACGCATGTCGCGAATTTCATAATTCATTTTTTTCGGCGCCTGCGGCGGGCATTCTAATCCAATCCAGCTTATCTTCTCCAATCCGTCTTATCCAATCCAATCCATCTTATCTTATCCAACCCATCTTGTCCCATCTTATCCCACCAAATCCAATCCACCCGACCCAATCCATCAATTCATTTGTTTCTGCGTCTTCTGCGGGCCAATCCAAACCATCTTATCTTAATTATCCAATGCATTTCTTCCAACATCTTATCTTATCCAAACCATCTTATCCCATCCAATCCAATCCACCCAACCCAATCCGTAAATTCCTTTTTGTCGGCGCCTGCGGAGGGCTTTCTTATCCAATCCAGCTTATCTTATCCAATCCATCTTGTCCAATCCAATCCATGTCCAGCTTATCCAATCCAGCTTATCTTATCCAATCTTGTCAATCTTGAGAAAGAGAGAGATGAGATCACGGTGACAGGCTGGAGGTCAGTCAGGGTGGGCATTTGATCTCAATGCCCCCACAAACCTCCTTATCGCCCGCAGGGCGGTCGTAAAGGTATGGTAGTTTTGGTTGTAGTTGTAGTTGTTGTCGTTGTTGCTGGGATTGTTGTTGTTCGTACTGTAGTTGTAGTTGTAGTTGTCGTTGTAAAAGTAGTTGTTGGTGCTGTTGGTGTTGTTGTTCTTGTAACTGTAAATGTCGTTGGCGTTGTAGTGTCAGTTGTTGTTAAAGGTTATTGTAGTTTTAGTCGTGGTGTTGGTTGTTGTAATTACAAAACGGGTGTTGGTGCTGTTGTTATTGCAGTTGTAGTTGTAGTTATGGTTGTTGCTGATGGTGGTGTTGCTGGTGTTGTGTGTATTGTAGCTGTACTTTTAGTTGCAAATGTAGTAGTAGTAGTAGTAGTAGTAGTAGTAGTAGTTGTTGTTGTTGTTGCTGGTGTTCCTGCTGCTGTGCTTGTTGCCGTTGATGTTCCTGTTGCCTTCGGTTGTGTGTGGATGCTCGTGCTTTGCAGTTGCTGTGTTATGGATGGTGCTGCCTGTTTTGCCGCAGTTGCTCACGGGGCCAACGTCGGGGCCGACCCACCCCTGCTGCCCTCGCGCGCCACTCGCCGGCCGACGGGGGCACGAAGGGGGGAGGGGAGGGAGGCGGGGCCGAGGCAGAAGCGACGGCCGGCCCCGAGCGCAGGAGCGCCCAGGGTCGACCCCGAGATCCCAGCGCGCCGCAGTCCCGAGCATCCTGTGGTGCCGGGCCCTCGCTCTGCGAAAAGACGGCGCCCCGCGTCTCCCCTCCTCCTCTCGCTCCTCCCGCCTCCCCCTCCTCGCCTCGGGCTGATCCCACCAACCCATTTGGGGCGCGAGTGGTTGAGCGCGTTTCCTCTTCTTGCCATCGTTCGGGCGACCATTCACCGCTCATTGTGAAGAATCGTGCGTCGTATTTTCGCAGAGGTCTCTCTCCCAAGTTGCCCCGCAGGAGTGGCAACGACCGCGGCATCGATCTCACTGTTCCCTGCGGCGATCAGTCGCGAATCTGGTACGGCCGTGGGCGCGAAAGCCTGGTGCTCTCACGTGTCGGACGAACCTCCCGACCTTGGGCCGTTCCACCCAGGGGATGGATGGCCCCTGGGGACGGCGGGTCGTGAGGAGGGAGCGGAGCAGATCGGAGCATCTGCCCTCCCCAAGAGGGACGCCTCGTCACTGCATGTCCGAGTGGCGATCAGCCGCGTCCCCGGCACGCCTGTGACGGTGATCCCCGACTTCCCTGGCACACTGGGCGGGCCTCGTGGCCCGAGGCCACCCCCTCCCGGGAACGGGCCTAGCGTCTGCGAGCTTGGCGGATTGAACGAGGCGGCTGCCCACACGACGTCGGACGCCCCACCCCAATGCTGTCCTGCGGTCAGCGGCATACCAGGGGACTTCGGTGCCGCGCAACGCACGGGGTTGCCAACCCCGAAGGGCGACCCCGACGCAAAAAGGGCATAGTCGTTCGGGCAGCGCACCTGGCTCTCCAGGAGCTGACGGCGGGCGGGGAATTCTGCGGGTCCCCTGGCGGATCCGATGTGCGACAGGCCACCTGTGCAGCGGCCCCCCCCAACCCTGACCCTTCCCATGACCGTCTCTGGCTCCCGACGACGATATAGCCGCTGAGACCGTGGCGCCTGGAGTGGACCGCGGCGGCCGAACGGCCGTCAGGACTGGTCTGTCCGCCAGCAGTTTGACGGCTGGGGGCGATCGCCTGGACCTGGACGGAGGGATCGTGTTGGGGTTCGGGGGAGGCTAGCCGATCGCCTGTTTCTGCTTCACCTGCGCCGTTCGCGCAGTTACCTGGTTGCGTGTGCCCTTCCTTTCCCTCCCCGTTGTCTCCCTTCGGGTCCGAGTAGATGGAGTCGGAGGATCTCACCGTATCGCCGATACATCGACGATGCATCAGCGATGCATCGGCCATGCACAGGGGACGTCAGCGATGCATCGGCGACGTTGGCGTGGAGAAAGACGGGCCCCACATCGAGCCGCATCGCCGATGCATCGCCGACGTAGCGGCGATGCGGCGCGATCCTCCGACCCCATCTACTCCGACCCCATCTAGGAGGCCTAGAATCTGGCCAGCCCTGCGGCCGGGCGCCCCTGCCACGCCCGGCCGGTTGCGCACGCCGGAGCCAGGCCTGGCGCCTCCGCCCGCCTGCCCCGCTGCTCCTGCCACTGGGCGCCCGCGCGTGGCCACGCCTGCGGCCGGGCGTTCCTGGCTCCCCCTCTCGGGGATCTTCTGACCCGGGTCAATCCAGACCCGGGTCAGATGGAAACCAAAAACTGCCATGCAAGAGAAACAAAACTGCAACGCAGGTCTTCGCAAACCCGGGTCAACCAATATGCGCGGCAATCCTCGCGACCACGAGCGGCTCGCTAACCCGGGTCAGCCAGAAAAGGTCTTCGCAGGATCCTGCAGAATCCGGTGCCCTGGGGCCACCCGGCCATCCCCTTTCCCCCCTCCCGCCTTCCGCTCCGCCGCCACGGTGCTCCCTGTCAGTTGCAGACGTCCTCGCCACGCTGCGCCGCTTCAGTAGCTGGCGCTTTGTAGCTCAGCAGCCCCCGGCAGTGTTGCAGCTCTGCTTCGCCTTTGCAGCTGGCAAAGCCGGGGCTCTGCCCTCAGCAGCTCCACGTGGCAGTATTTCGGCATCTTGCTCCAGCGAGCTGGTCGCTGGCCCAGCCCCCGTGGTCGCTGGGGCCTTCCCTCATCCGGCTGGCGCCGTACCTGCCCACGGTCTTCTGGCGAACACCTGGGTGCTGCCCGCTTCCGTGGGCTTGCTCGCCGCTCCTCCCCCCGTGCTGCTTCGACGACTTGGTCTGCGCGCTTTGCGCCTGCAACCTCTGCCTCGGCCCCTCGGGTCTGGCCGTGGTGCCGCTCCGCGTCCACTGCCGGGCTGCCTCAGCCACAGGCTGGCCGCACGGGCCACTCCTGACGGAGGGCCTCGTGCAAACACTGCCCTCCCTCTTTCGCCCGCCTTCCGCGGCCGCCCTCCGCCTCCCTCTCATCTCTTGCAGCCGGACAAAGTGGTTGTTATCCGATCCAAAGCCTACTAAAGAGCGCGCGTGCGGATTGTTCCTGCCGCGCTGCGACGTAAAAATATTGGTTCCCCAACCCTCCTATGTTGGTCTCTCGTTGGAGAAACAAACGCTGCGGTTGAACACCCTCCTCTTTCCTCCATTCCCTCTGCTCATAAAAAACTTCCCCCTGTCGCATCCCGAGGAAAGCTTTAGGGCGGGCATGACGTTTCGCTTGAGACTCCCCCACCTCGTGTGGTCCTGATACTTCGACATTGACAACAGTTTCACGCATGGAGGGCGGTGGTTTTCAAATTGTGGCTCTGGCCGTAGCGCCGCGCGCATTCGTTTTCAAATGTTGCAAGGGCTTCACAGATTTAAAGCGGGTCGTTTTCAAAATGTGGCCCTCGCCTTCGCGCCACGCATCTTCGTTTTCAACATCTGTAAAAGCCTCACGAATCGAGGGCGGGCCGTTTTCAAAATGTAGCTCTCGCCCTAGCGCCGCGCACATTCGTTCTCAAAACTTGCAAGAGCTTCGCGGATTGAAGGCGGGTGGTGTTCAACAAGTACGTTGTTTCGCCTTAGCGCTGCGCACATTATTGTTTAAACATTGCACTGCAAAAGCTTCACGGATTGAGGGCGGGTCGCTTTCAAAATGTGGCTCCGGCCTTGGCGCCGCGCACATTCGTTGTCAAACATTGCAAAAGCTTCACGGGACTGTTAACTGCGCTACTGTCGCAACTTTCTTGGGCTCCTGGGAGGCACGGCGAGCTAATGGAGTACCCGATACCTCGCAACTCCCTGGGTGGCTGCGAGCTGCGAGACCGTCATCACTTTCGCGGGCTCCTGGGAGGCACGGCGGAGTAGAGGAGAACCCGAGACCTCGCAGCTCCCTGGGAGGCTGCTCACTGCGCAGCTGTCGCCACTTCCGTGGGCTCCTGGGGAGCACGGCGGAGTAGGTGAGAACCCGAGACCTCGCAGCTCACTGGATGGCTGCGAACTGCGCAACTGTTGCCAGCGTCGTGGGCTCCCGAAGGGTCCAGCGGGGTCGGGGGACACGCGGATCCACTCGGGGCCTCGCTGCTCCCTGGGAGGCTGCAAACTGCGCAGCAGTCGCCACTCTCGTGGGCTTCTGGAAGGTCCAGCGGGTCGTGGGCCACGCGCACCCTTTCTGAGACCTCGCTGCTCCTTGGTGGGGGGCGGACTGCGCGACGGTCGCCACTTTCGTGGGCTCCTGGGAGCTCCGTCGGAGTCGCGAGCCACGCGGATTCCGACGAGACTTCGGTGCCCCCTGAGTGGCTACGAGCAGCATAACTGTCGCCACGTTCGTGGGCTCCTGGGAGGCACGGCGGAGATGAGGGCGGCCCTGACCGTGCATACCTGGCGATGTGGTCTTTTGTATGGAGCGTTCCTGCAAAGATTCGCACCGCGTGGACACGGGGTTGGGTACGTCTCAGGGAATTCCAAAGATGCTCCAACATGTTCCAAAATGCTCCAGATGCTCTAACGATGGCCTCACCAGAAGAAAAGGCACACGTCCGAACGATGCTGAAGCGTCCAATCCCTTTTTCTTCCCCTTCGGTCCACCTTCCACTCTGGACCTGGAGGGAGGGGGCGGCGAGGGGTTGGAGCGTTGACTCCAAGTGCGTGACACATGTTAGTCTCCTGGGGGAACGCTGATTAAACCCTCCCATTCTTTGATCAAACTCCTGCTAGATAGCCCCAAGATGGCCCGCGAGGCTCCCGACTGTCCCAAGAGGGCCCCAAGAGGCCCAAAAGGCGCTCAGGAGGCCACAAGAGCCCCCCAAGATGCCCCCAAGAGCCTCCCAAGAGACACCATAAGAGGCCTAGGTCATGAAAATGCGGTAGGCGTCCTTTGGCCTTGCCACATGATCCCCGGCCTTTGGCCGGGGCGAGCTAGGTCAGCCGGCTCCGAAGCCGCCGTGGCGGTGCAATACTGCCGGCAAGCGCCGTGTCTGAGCCTGAGCCCGAGGACCTCCCAACCCCGGAGGAAGAGGGGGCGCCGAACTGGCCGCCAACGTGGCCGCCGCCGAAGGGGGGCAGGAGCAGGTGGCCGCCCTCCGCCGACGCCACCGCGCTGGCCGCCGACGCCGGCGCCGCCCCGTCAGCCTGGGGGCCGGCGGTTTTCCAGCTGGACGGGGGGACCACTGGGCTCCCCCCTACGCACGCGGGACACCCCCCAAGAGACCCCCCGGACGCACCCAAGACGCTTCGAGAGGTCCCCGGGGCCGCCAAGAGCCCCCAGAGACGCCCCAACAGGCCTACAAGGAACTTTCGAGAGACGTACGAAGAGACGTCAAGAAGCATCCAAGAGACCTCTGGCCTTCCCGTTCACCCTCCTCTTCCTCTTCCTCATCCGCCAAATCCTCCTCCTCCTCCTCCTCCTCCTCCTCCTCCCTTATCTTCTCCCTCCCTCCCTCCCTCGCTCCCTCCCCTGCGCCTCCCCCTCCCCCTCCCCCTCCCCCTCCCCTGCCCCTCCCCCTCCCGCTCCCCCCTCTCCTCCTCCCGCCTCCCCGGCAGTGCGGGGGGCCGAAAACAAATTATACTCGGTGTGGCGTGAGATACATTCAGGGTGACATTCGGCGAAGGCGCGAGTGCAGAGGGGAGGAGAAAGAGGATGGCCGAAGGAGGCAGAAGTGAACAACAAACGACATAAACATGAAAATTCAAAGATCAGCGCGGATTTCTCAGATCCGTGCTGGACCCCCCTGGCGGCGCCTCTGGCGCCGCCCCTGGCGCGCTCCGCGCGCAAGGGATATAGGCTGCCCTCTTCGGGTTTCGAGGGGCATATCCCCAACGGAGGTGGTGAGACGGTGGGGCTCGAGATGTGGATGTGGATGGGGATAAGGATCGGATAAACGATACTGAGTTCGGGCCATATCTCGGGCCTCCCCGGGACGCTCTCGGGCAGGCGCAGCCGCTCTCGGGACGGCTTGGCCCCCCCTGGGCACGCTGTTTCTATCGGCCAGGCGCAGCCGCCAGGAGGCCTCCCGAGGCTGGAGAGCCGACGAGAACCGACGACCACGTCCGCAAACCTCGAAGCTCGAGAGAGCCTCGTGCCTATCCCCCTCCTTGGCGTTGCCCCTGGCGGCATCAGGGTTTCCACGGTGGTCCTCGAGGGCGGCTGAGGGCACATTGGCCGCCGCTGGGGCTCTGAGGTGCTCCTCCCTCGTCTGGTCCTGCTTCCTTCTCCTGCTCCGAAAGGGTTGGGGGGGGGAGGGAAGACGGGGGGAGGGCAGGAGGGGCAGGAGGAGGGAGGGGGACGGGGAGGGGGAGGGGGAGGGGGAGGAGGAGGAGGGGGAGGAGGAGGAGGAGGAGGAGGAGGAGGAGGAGGAGGAGGAGGAGAGGAGAAGAACGGGGAGGGAAAGGAGGAGAGAAGGAGGAGAAGGAGGAGGAGGAGGAGGAGGGGGAGGAGGGGGAGGAGGGGGAGGGGGAGGGGGAGGGGGAGCAGGGGGCGAGGTCGGTCGGTCGGACTCGGCATTGCAGCCGTCTACGCGCCGACTCTCGCTGAGAGACTCGCACCCCGAGGGCCAAGGGGGGTACTCCTGTCTTGACCGCCGCGCTACCCAGCGAGGGGAAGCCTCTTCCTCCTCCTCCTCCTCCTCCTCCTCGCCCTCCTCCTCCTCCTCCTCCTCCTATTCCTCCTGTTGTTTTGACCGCCGCGCTCCCCGGCGAAGGTAAGCCCAACCCCGAGTCCCAGGCGACCCAACGCACAGAAGCGAGAGGGCGGCGGACGGCGCGAAGCGCTAGACGCGACAGAACTTAGAAAGACAGGCAGTCGGGCTGGAGAGGATGTGAAGAGAACTGCAGCCATCGGAACTGCAATGCAGCTGGCCCGTCTCACCACCTGGAGAGTCACCAGCAATGAAGGATCATAACCAGTGGTGGGCAGGAAGCGAAACGCAAGATCGTCGGGCCGACGCGCGATAACCTAGTCCTGGAGGCCATCACCTGCGTACAGACCCGCATGAGCATGAGCATAAACACGGCAGGAAAGGGATCACAGCACAGATTGCAGCCCACCGGTGCTAGCCCGTCTCATCGCTAACGGAGCGAGGAGGAAGGAAGACGGGAGGTATCGTGTCGCGGCTTCGGAGGCTCGCGTGGATCTCCAGGAGGCCGCCAAGAACAGGGAGGCTGCCCGGCCAAGGGGAGCCTCGCGGACGGCTCCCGACACGCCGCCCGCCTGCACCTGCGAGAGCGCAGCGCGCTCTCGAGTGCAACGCCTCTCGATTGATGGGGCTCCGATACGAGCGTACTATCCTGTCATGTCTGAAGGGGCCGAAGGACTTACAAAAAATACACACACGTTCCAGGATCCCCTACGTGTCCGCATGTGTTATGTAAGTTCGTATTTCCCCCCATGTCTGTATGTTTTCCCTCCTGAACATCTCCTCCTCCTCCTCATCATCATCCTCCTGGTACTCCTCCTCCTCCTCCTCCTCCTCCTTCTCCTCCTCCTCCTCCTCCTCTGGAAGCGGGCAGGAGGTCTGCGCTGGCTGGACCTGCGAAAACCAGCCAAGCAGGGGGCGGCGAGGGACCGATCCTCTCAAGAACCCGCCCCCCGACATCTCCTGGGAATGAAACCGACGAGTTGCTCGAGCCGCATCCAGCCGTCGTGGCGACGAGGGGGCCCCTTGCTCCCGGGAATCTTCTGACCTGGGTCATTCCAGACCCTGGTCAGTCAGGCCTTGCAGAAACCTGCAAAATCCTGCAAGATCCTGCGCCCAAGCCCAGGTCAATGCGAAGGATCCTGCAGGATCCTGCACCCAGACCTGGGTCAGTGCGACCCTGGCCCTGCAGGATCCTGCAAGATCCGGCGCCCTGGCTGACCCCCGTCTGCATTGACCCCCGCCTCAAGGCTCCCGATGTTTCCCCCCTTCTCTGCTGGCCAGAACCAACCAGGTGGGCCACCTCGGTTCCCCAGCCAGCTCCAACTTCTCATCGTCATCCTGGCTCTTCCCGCTCGCCGCCCCGCGCCCCTGGCCGCGGAACGCGTCGTTCCCGTTGGCGATGCCGTCCCCGTCGATGTCGTCGTCCCGGTTGTCGCCGACCCCGTCGCCATCCGTGTCCGCCCTGGGCCCGCGAGCTTTTTTGCGCCGAGCAGAGGGAGGAGGACGAGGAGCCAAAAGTCGCATGGCACCATACTGTTTTCAACAATCTGAGGGCGTCCAAAGGATGCGTCCAAGGGGCGGTGTCGCAAATCATTGCCCGAGGCACGTGTGCGACCCAGGGGGGCCAAAAGACAGACGTATTGGAAACACAGTGGGGCCATGAAATCCGAGGAGGTATCGTCGCCCCAGCCATGGCACCCCCCCTCGTCATCATCCTCTTGGCCGACCCCGGAAGATCTCGGCCTTCAGAAGCCTGTGTCGGGCCCTGGGACCATCGACCAGGAATGACAGACTGGCCAGGACGGCCCCCTGGAGGGGTCTGGGGACGGATTTCGGAGACCGGACCCACGAGAGAGATGAGGAGTAGAAGGGATACAGCCATCGTGCTATGCACCACCAGGAGTGCTGAATAAGCAGCGAAGAAACCTTTCTGCCCACGTTGAGCCTCGGCCCACGAATGGCGTCCCCGACCCAGATCCAAGAAGCGGCTCGAAACCGAAGCCCCTCGTGAGCCCAGCGTGGTCCTCATGTCAAGCTCTTGGAACATGTTTCGTTATTCACGTCACATTTCGCGCCGGCGCCGTGTGGAAATTAGCCATTCCTGAGCATTCCCATACGGCCGCAAGCGAATCAGTAGGTGACCAGTACCCTCGCCCCATCAGCCCCCCCCGTCACGCCCAGTTACTCCTGTTTATTGTTACAGCAGGAGGAGGAAGAGAAAGAGAAAGATAAGGAGAAGGAGAGGAGAGACATAGAAGAGAGGAAAAGGAAGAGGAGGAGGATGATGATGAGGAGGAGGAGGACGAACGCAAGGAGGAGGAAAGCGAGGAGGAGAAGGAGGAGGAGGAGGAGGAGGGAGAGGAGGAGGAGGAGGAGCAGGAGGAGGAGGAGGAGGAGGAGAAGGAGGAAAGAGGGGAAGCAGGAGGAGGAGGAGGAGGAAAGAGGGGGGAGCGCGGGCGAGGCTCGGGTCGGGGAACGACCGAGCAGAGGGCAGCACCTGCGAGGCGGGGCCCACACGTAGCCAGAGGCGGAGGGCTGGCGCCTCCTCCGAGGCGAGCTTGGCCCAGCTTGGCCGTCTTCGGCAGCGGGCGGAGGCAGGCGGCGCTCATGCTTGCTTAATTATATATTATATATATATATATATATATATAATATATATATAGCCCCGGTCCCGCCATGGGGGATCGAGGCAGCTGTTTGTGGGCCCCGGGCCTGCCCCCCAGGGATCTATATATATATATGTATACATGTATATGTATATGTGTGTATATATATGTACGTATGTAGATTTATTCGGCCTTCTCCCCTGGCCCTCCTTCCCCCTTGACCCTTCCTTCCACTCTCCGTCTCTTCGTCTCCTCCTTCCTGCCCCTTCCTCTTCCCCCTTTTCCCGCTCCCTTCCTTCCCCCTCTCCTTCCTTCCCGTTCCCCTCCCCCTTCCTTCCCCTCTCCCGCTGCCTGTCTGCGCGCCCGCACGCCGCCCGCACGCCGCACACTCTTTGCTTACCACCTCTCCTGGCCTTGAAAGGGGGCGCCAAACGTGCAATCCCTGCCACCCCTCCCGCCGTGCCCCGAACGCTGTCCCAGATACCGTGGCCTCAGTGAACTACGAGACGGAGGGAAGCGTCGTGGCCCCGCGGAAGGGGGCTTCGGCTCGGGGGCTGAAGTTACTCCAGCCACAGGTCACCAGCCGAAGCGCCAGGGCAACCCAGCGCCAGCGTCGGTACGTGCCTGGAGGCCTGGTCTCCCCTCCCGCTCTCTCTCCGAGCTCCTGTCCAGGACGGGCCTCTCCACACGGCCCGGGAAACCAGAGCCGGGCGCCACCACGTCGGCAACGCCCTCCACCCTGTGGGGGTGGCGCGGGCCTCCGCAGGAGGGGCTCGCGGGAGGGCACGCGGCTCGAGGCCCCTGCGCCGCCCTCGGCGGCACGGGCGCGTCGGCCACCGGCCGCACCCGTCGGGAGGTGACGCCGCCGGCCACGGCGCCGCGCTGCAGGCGAGCGGTGAGCGCGAGACGAGCGCCTGGCGGAGGAGGAGGAGGAGGAGGAGGGGAAAGGAAGGGAGGAGGAGGAGGGAGGCAGGTGGAGGGGGAGGAGGAGGAGGAGGAGGAGGGGGGGGAGGAGGAGGGGGGGGGGAAGGATGGAGGAGGAGGTGGTGGAGGGGAGGAGAGGGAGGGAGGAAGTGAAGGAGGAAGAGGAGGAGGAGGAGGAGGACACCGTGGCGTATAGCGGCCCTGCGACGGCGGCGGCGGCAGGCCCGGCCGAGGCCGCGCGGCGCACCCCGCGGCGCACGGCGGCCCCGGGCGCGGCGCCCCCGCTCGGCCGGCCGCGGCGCCAGCCCTCCGACGGCCCGAGAAGCCTTTGCCTGGTTTTCACGCCTGCCAGCAGCCCCGCCCGTCCGCTCTCTCCTCCTCCTCCTCCTCCTCCTCCTCCTCCCTTTCCTCCTCCCGGAGTACAGGCGGCTCCACGAGCATGGAAGCTGGGGGGCGGGGCGGGAGCAGTCCAGCCAGGGGGAGGAGAAGAAGTACGACAGGTTCTTGCGCCTGATGCCGGATGGCAGCTTGCCGTCCGACAGGACCATCCTTTGCTGGGCCTCGACGGTCCCAGCCGGCAACCCCCTGCTCAGGCGCGGGGCCGAGTGGAACTACCTGCCCAAGGAGAAGGGCAAGGGCACCCTAAGCACCAAAAACAAGAAAGCGCCAAGTGGACTCGTGTTCCAGTTCGGGAAGAAGCATGGCGCGGTCCACATCTGGATGCGCAAATTGGGAAAAAATCCACATCGCTGCTGCCACAGCGGTGCGCGAGAACATCCTGTCCAAGATGCTCACTTGGACGGCCCCGTACAACAACGG